AATTAATTTCAAAGTAAACTATACCTTTAATTACCAGAAATCAATCACCAGCCCCATCCTTTGCTATGGACACTTTGCACAAGTTATTCTAATTTTCCATTCTCCGAGGCAGTCAACGCACTGGCAGACATTGCTTAAATATTGGACCTTGGCTGATTGGTTTATCACGTTTAGTCCCATCCACCCCCAGCGGATTTTAATTTACTATTTTATTGATCAGGGATGTGATTTTTCCGGATTAATCCGGAATTCCGGATTTTCCGACCTGAAAATGTGACCTACGTGAATCATGCAGATCTGTTAAAAAAAAAGTAAAAAAAAAAGAAGAGGGGGACTGGTGTCGGCAGCCGGACTGAAAAGGAGAGAATAAGAGCACATAACCCATAACTGGCTGACGTACAGAAAGTTCCTTTCAAAGTATCAACAAGGACGTATATAGACCATTTCACAAGATGTAAACAACACTGGTCCAGAAGCACTCCTGTTTCAGTTTTTTAACACTACATAAAAGCTGGGATAAAATACAACCAGCAGAACATGTAAAACTGAATCAAAAAGTTAAACAAACATTTTTAAGATGTTTTCTTTACATGTGAAATAAAGAAAGCAGTTACAAACTGAAACAGGAAGTGCTTCTGGACCAGTGTTGTTTACATCTTGTGAAATGTCTATAGAGAGAATGTCTAATTGGTTCAGCTTGTTCACCTGCTCAATTTCGTATCAGTCGCTCTCGCGCTGAGTATCGTCGTCAGTTGACAAGAACATCACAGGTCACCAGGGCTGGGCGATATATCGATATAGTTCAAATTTGCGCTATGATTCTTGCTCCAATCAAGCTGCTGACTGCTTTTGTAGAAATATCGTGCATTCTGTCAGTTGCAGTTCTGACACCTCCGTCTCAACAGCATTAGTGTAACTTACAACGCGACAAATACTCGCAATATTAACGCAGAGGAACGGCTAATGTTGCATCAGTTCAGCGAGTTCACAAAAGTTAATTTGCATGTGCTTAAAGCCTTGCCGGTTAAACATGTTTGCGTTCACTGCTGATGCGCTGTTCTGAGACTGCGGTCAAGTGGGCCGCACGTGGAAAATACACGGTCAAGCCAGCCGCACCCGGTATCACGACAAGACATGAAATAATCACGTTGGTCCACTTTGGAAAACGTGTAGATGTCACGGTTTAACAAAACCATAAATAGGGCTATACTGCCCTCTTGTGTCAAATTATATTTTTATATTTATTTTTCCAACAAATAAAACCAAACCTATAATAAAAACCCATCCAATAAACCCTTGAACAGTCTCAGTGGTTCAGTTGATAAAGCGTTGGGCTTCAATCAAGAAAACCTGAGTTCAAATCCCATTCTTGCTTACATTAAATTGTTGTGATTTTATCAAACAAAGTGGCCAAAACAACATTTCTCCAGCCGACAAGACGTGAAATAATCACTTGGTTCACTTTGGAAAATGTGTAGATGTCACGGTTTCACTCCCTCAAACGTGAAATTTGCACTTAAACTGAAACTTAAACTTATACCATATTGGTTTTCATCAAACCGAGAAAAATGGGATTTTGTTTTATTGACGATCACTGAAAAATGGTCTATTGTTAAAAATGTAAAAAACATTTATTATTTTCAAGGTGAAAAGGATTCATTTGCCTCGATCCACGCCGAAACAAAACGTCTTAATATCACGTTTTAAAATGAAGCAGCCTAAATGGTCCACTTTGGAAAACGTGTAGATGTCACGGTTTAACCCCCTCAAACGTGAAACTTACACGTTTGCGTTAACACGCTCCAGTGGAGAGATACCCGTGTTGACCTATTCTACACGCAATCGCCTCTGCCATAACGACCTATTGGTTTTCATTAAACCGAGAAAAATGGAATTTTGTTTTATGTAGCCTACGATCACTGAGAAATGTTCTATTATTTAAAATGCAAAAAAACATTTATTATTTTCAAGGTGAAAAGGATTCATTTGCCTTGATCCGCGCCGAAGAAAACGTCTAAATGTCACGTTTTTAATGAAGCAGCCTAATGAGTAATGTCTATTTTTCCGCAGAGGCGGACAGAGTACACAGCTTTATTACTTGAGTAAAAGTACAGATACCCCTTGCTAAATTTGACTCAAGTACAAGTAAAAGTACTACAGTCAGATGTCTACTTGAGTAAAAGTACTGAAGTACTTGTTTTTAAAAGTACTAGAGTATCAAGAGTACAAAAGTACATTTTCTAAATATTGCATTACAACTGCCACAGTGCTTACATTTATGGACAGAAACGTCCTACATGGAGTTATGAAAAATGTTAAAGTCAATACCTTGGAGAATGTAAAAGGATTGAAAGTAAAATCAAGTCGTATTCATCTTTTTACCATGTTGCTTTATTTAACATTTAAGAAAATTTCAGAAAATTCAGAAAATTTAAATAGTCTGGCGAGGTGGGGCCACGGGCTGGCACATTCCCGGGATGGACCTGCTGCATCTTCATCCATTGGTTTCGTCCGTCCATGCTTTGGTCTCTTATACAAATCTGACCATGGAGTTGACTTTGCCGGAAAGCTGAAGGTGATTGCTGATAGGTTGTCCCAATCAGTGGATCCTGCACAATCCAATCACGTTTGAGAGGGAAACAACAATTTGAGGGTTTCCGAGATTTTTCTTATTTCTATTTTTTTTTTTTTACTCATGGTTATGGATAGAAATGTATTGGAGTAAAGAGTACAATATTTCACTCTCAAATATACTTGAG